CGACAAATGACAAAAATGACTTTTTGTTGTAGATTGCCCCGTGCTTGTTGTTCGATTTGATCCAGCCTTTGAGACAGTAACGCCTCCTTTTTCTGGCAGTCTCGAGTTAGTTCCACTAGATTGAGGCATCAAATTATCAACTGTGCGAGTCTCCCATGATGCCCCGTGTGAATGTGGCAGCTGATCAACTCTAGATCCCGACTAGGCTCCTTGCGATTCCTGCAAATCCAATTCCACACTTTGACTCTCTCCAATGGCTGTTTCTAAGTCTTTTGGTTCAAAAGCACGCAACTTATTGTGAAGAGGGCGTTGGAGGCTATTCAAAAATATCCCAAGTAATGATCATCAGCGAGTCCCGACACCTGATTCGCAACTGTAAAAATTTATCCACGTAGACATCCACTAGGCCAGTCTGTTTCACAGCCGCTAAGCATTCAAAGGGGTTGCCAACATAGTGTTCATCAAAACAGACTATTAAAGCTTCGGAAAATTCCACCCATGACGCATCGGAATAGTGTCCACAATACCACCGGAACCAATGCAGATCCCTCCATTGCAACCATTGCAATTGCACTCGTTGCAGACCCGCAACCCGATGTAATTCAAACTGTTGTTCTACTCGTGCAATCCACCCGATAGGATCGGTGCCATCAAAACTCGGTAAGGTGACATTAGAAAGATGTAGTACATGTGCTTCATTATCTCGAACTTTCTCTTGATATGGGAGTGTATTCGAAGCCTTTCCAATTGATGCGGATGCAGATGAGTCTAATGATCTTATAGGTACTCTTTGAAAGGCCTGAACAACCGCAAGGATTTCCGCAGTCTGCTTTTTCATCGCTTCTTGCTGTGTTGCAACGGACACATTCAGTACTTTCAGTTTCTGTCAAATGTCTCGATGCTCCTCATGGACCACACCAATGTATTATCTATTTCCACAACTTTTGCATCCCTTGTAATCAATATCTCGGATTGATCCGGAAGGTTGGACCAATTTGATAGAAATAAGAACGCAATTTAATAGAAATAAGAACCAACTTTATTACTCAGAAAAAGAACTAATCTCTTCTGCCAGCCGTAGCCACTAATCTCTTCTGCCAGCCGTAGCCGCCTTACACTAATTCTCTGGATGATCCCTCTAACCTTAATTATCATTTTTTTATATCAACTCATAATCTAATTATAAACAAGATTAAGGACTAATTTGCAATGCTAACATATAATAACTATGGTAATGCAATGATTAGACCAAAATGCGCTTTTCTGTTTCGTGTATAGACACGCAGCGGTACCTGGGCCATTGTTTCTGGTGCTTGCACTTGCGGTTGTTCCATATCATTCAATCCCTTTATTTTTGCACCATTACAATTCTGTGTAACCATTTTGTTTCTCAAGTTTCACTAATGTTCTCATTTTCATCTCATCTCCATCTCCATTCAATACTACACGAGGTTCAAATCCTATTATTGAGAAGCATTCAATATTCTCATGAAGTCGAGCAATCTAATACTTAACTGGAAATGATATGCCATGAAAATAATGGCTATTATGCTTCTGTTATGGTGAGGTAGATAAATTGATAAGCTGAAATGATTGTTCCTCACTAGCGATATTGTCGTTCCTTGACCATACTATCTTTCATTTCTCAATTTATGTCATTATTTTGTGTTGTGTTTCATCAACGTAGGAACCATTATTGGTGTTCCCATCATTAATCAATTATTGTTTTTTCATGCCAATAACTTCTAAATATTATTTCTAACGTAAATTATAGAATCAGAGAAATTGAGATTTTAAATTATCAATTGTTAGATAAGTTATTGCTTTTTTTTTTCTTTGGATTTACTGTTATAATTGATTGTGTAGAGTTTTAACATATTATGGTTTTGGCTTTGATAGAGGCCTCTTGTTTTGGAGATTCATCTTATGTGTTTGTTAATTAGTTACTTATTTTCAAAAGAGCGATGATGGATTTCTTGGCTGTGTGAGAAATTCTATTAGATAAATTAATATTCGAAAGGTGAGAACTATGTTGTGCATTGATCAACTATTTGTATTAATCGGAGAATATCATAGTTTGATAATTTGATCCACTTTGTATGGCTCTTCTTGCACCAGTGTCTCTTTGTCTCTCAATCTATGTCTTTTCATCTTGGATACAACATAACTTGGATTGCTCAATTGTGTGTTCACTTGCCCAATCGCCATTGTTGTCGACATTTAGGTTGTATTCTTTTGTGGATTTTATCACATATTTTTACTATTCAGATTCTTTTTTCCTTCAAAAAATATCAAATCAAACAATTATATTTTTCTACATTATACTACAAATTTATTTTACAATCAAAATATCACATCATTATCTATTTATATCACATCAAACAACTATTCAAATTCAAATTTTTACTATTTATAAATTCAAACCAAAAAATCCAAACCCACAAACAAACACACCCTTAATTCTTCACTAGATGCATTGATAGGATGATTACAATTGCATAGGCAGGCGTAGCGCACTTACAAGTTCTAGTGAATGACATATTTTAAGGGCAAATAAATAATAAGAATAATTAAAATAAAAAATTTGTTCTAAAATATTCGGATATATAACGTTTTAAAAATTAGTTTTATGGTCCAATAAACTATCTCAAAAAAGTTAATTTATCAAATAATTAAATTAATTGTTTGACTAGTAAAAAATGTTCAATAAATGAAAATTTTTTTTAAAAAATTATTTATCAAACACCCTCCAAACTCATTTGCAATACAAACAACTCATATTTTTTCTTCACACTTTCTCTTTTTAAATTTTCTCTCTCTAAAAGTTTTTCGTTTTGTAAATACTTAGTCAAAAAGTTGTTAAGGGGCACGAAGGGCTATAGCTTCACGCTAACCAGTCAACTTTTGACATCATTTTCACATATTGCAATAGCATGTTCTATCCAATAGTGATATGATCTAGTTATTTTCTAAAAATAACCGTTGTGTGAACATGACATGCGGCCGGATGACAGATAGGACGGTTTTTGCAAATATGTAACATATATTTTTCCAGTAAAATAAATAAAAGACAAAATTAATAATTGAATATACGTGAAAGATATTTTTTGTAATTTTTTTCAAAAAAAATTAAAGCATGTTGTACCCTTTGGATGTATTTCAAAATCTGAATTGACAAAAAGGGCCACTAAGTAATATAAGAATGTAGAACAAAATGAGAATCTTGTCAGAAATCTTTATTACAAAATACGTCCGTAATAAAAAAATACGGTACAAAAGTGGACTTCTTTCCAGAACAATTTTGTTATGAAATTTATCCATAACAAAAAATATGCTACAAAAGTCATGTCACCGTGAAACACCTTTTGTTTCGAAAAATATCCAGTACAAAAATACACTATAAAAGATGTCTTTGAGTCAAATAAGATTTTGTCACCATAAAAAATGCAATGGACTTTATATTTATTATGTACCCAGCTGCATGAAAAATAACTAAAGTATATTTACCATTATTAATCTGAAATCCTTAATGATACCAACAAAATGACATCAATCCAACAATGTTCATAGACATGCCTAAAGCAGAAACGGAATTATCAACAGTACTTTGAAGCATCCTCAAATATGAGTGTGCCCTATCTAGTATCAAACCAAAATACAATCTTAAGGCCGGAAAAAATGACTACTATAGGTGACTAAGCTTATCGATTGTAAAATCACAAAGGAAGCAATCAGGAGCGGCGAACCAACTAGAATGAGTTTCCAAAATATATAAGAATTTAATACTACATTTGAAATTATTTAGTTCCCAAAAATAATAATACTAATAAAAAAAATACTTACGTTTTTGTATGTCAAATCAATGTTATTTCCATTGAGTACCTCACCCAGGATATTTGCTCCGACATTCTTGAGAGAGTAAACGGGGTCTCCTGGAGCATAATAGCTTTGAAAAGCTAGCAACTTGTCCATGAAAGAAGAAATGAGATGAAAATGCAAAACAAAAGAAGGATCCTAATTGATAACAAATTCATCTGTAGAAAGATGTTTGCATACTACATAAGAAAAAAAAAAATACCAAGAACAAAATATGTTGGTAAAGGATGACCAAGATTTGTCAAATATGTAAGCTTGGCATTCGTAAGTTTTTGTTTTTATTTTTGTTTTCTTTTATGACCAACATTTGTCAGTTTTTTCTTTTTCTTTGATCGGGAATTCAGCATCCGTCAGTTTTGATCTATTAAAAGGTAGGCAAAGCCAAAAAGTATCTCAAAACTAAGAGCAGATTTTGGAAGTAAATCATTATCCAACTGGCAAAGGCTTTGATATCCACCAATAATAATAATAATAAAAACGAGGGTCTAGCCCAACCAATAATAAATAACCTATCAACTTTTCTTTCATATAGTAATATAGTGCATGCTTTCTGAAGGAAAATATTTTCCATATAGCAAAGGGAGGACTTTGATGAGGGTTTTGATAGCAGTGTAGGCTGAATGAGAGATTATTAATTGATACGGTGATATAATAATCATTATTATTATCATATCGATCAAACTGACTCGGATATTCATAATATAAAATTATTACATTGTTGATGACATAATGTAATAAAATATTATTCGAAAATTAATTGTGTATATCCAGCAAATTAAAATTTTGAATCACAATAGAACATCACAACAAAATATTGCAAGTATATATAAATTATGTTACAATATAAATTTGATAGTATATTTTAATATATTTATTAAAATTCAATATTATTTTGTAAAAATTAAATAACAATTTATTTTAAAAAGAACTATAAAATAAAATTAATCAATTATTTTTTTTATTTTATTAAAAAAATATTTAATATATTTACCCTCTTCTATTTCTATAAAATTTATATAATTAAATTCATATTTACACTAAAATATTGATTTTAAGGAATAGATTGTTTTGTATATAATTTAGTTTAAAATATAAAATATATAGTATTATTATTTATTACTAATTATTACAGATACGCTGATCCTGTTGTCATTTCCTTTCTTCTGGAGGATCTCTTAGCCGCGCCATTCTGATTTCTCTTCGATCACACCGATCTGCGTTCGGAAATCTTCCTAATTAACGGATTTTGCATCATCATGACTCTGGGCTCGGGAGGATCTAGTGTGGTTGGTGAGATTCTTTTGACTATCGGAAATTGTTGTTATAATTTTTATTTTTCTTGGCGACATAAAATCAATTTTTTTGTTCTAAATTTTTTGGGATTCTGATGGTCTATAAGTGTACGTGTCGTTGAATTTTGAGGGATTTATGTTGTCTTTTTTGTGTGATAATGATGCAAGAGTTAAATGTGAAATTTGCCGATCGTTTTGTCTGATTTTAGGGGTGTTAACTCTCCCCCCCAGAAACTGAATTTTTTTTTTTTTTTTTTTCTGATGCGTCTTAGAGTAAATTGGATGAGCCTTTTTGGTGGATAAAAGTTTTGAGGAACGGGTTTTTATTGATTTAGTTAGTTAGTTTGTCTGTCTATTAATATTTAGAGGTTGGTTCTGGCTTCAATTTCTATTGATATTGAATGCTGAATTGACAAATGAGTGACTACATTTAAGTGATTTAGCTACCTGCTCCTTCCTTAAAGTTTCTGTTTGTTCTTTTCCATGGAGAGTAAATTAATGTAGTTCTTCCACAATCTGATCTGGTGTACATGTTGATCTGCACTAGTTTCCCATGATCTTGGTTGCAAATTTTGTTGACATAAAAGTATTGACAGCATTCATGGGTTTGCCTGTTGCAAGTGAAGATTACTAGACCATTGAGTTGTTTTTGTTTTTTCAGTTCCTCGAAATTTCAGGTTGCTGGAGGAGCTTGAACGTGGGGAGAAGGGAATTGGGGATGGCACTGTCAGCTATGGAATGGATGATGCCGATGATATTTACATGCGTTCCTGGACTGGCACAATCATTGGTCCACATAACGTGAGCATTACCACCTCTTTTTATAATGCACATTGTGAAGGGTGATAATTAAGTTTGAATTGGTTTCCTTTGTTCCAATTATCGTACTTTTTTACCTCCAACATGTGTATTCGACCAGAAAAGGCTGTGAGAGTTCTTATAACAGATTTGATAAAATAAGTATCACTCCACCCTCTGCATGTTTATAGAATATTCAACATTAGTGTAGTTTCTTAAACTAAAAGTAGCTTCAGTGGCACAGTTAGGTGCTTGATATCCATCTTGGTTAGTTCGTACCTTCTTCAATGGGATGTAAATATGATAGTAAGTTAGGAACCTGCAATGCAATGTCTTCAGATGGTGGCAGCATTGTTAATAACAACTGTAACAGTTTGTAGAACAGAAATTTGAAGAAAAAAAAATATTATAGGGTGCTGCTTCATTTGATGTACATTTGTACGTTTGGTTAGTTATTAGTCGTTTGATTGTCCTTATTTTTGGTAACCCAAAATCAAGGCTAATGACAGGAGTGAACTCTGTCTTTTATTCTTGTCAGTCTGTACATGAAGGCCGCATATATCAGTTGAAGCTATTTTGTGACAAAGATTATCCAGAGAAGCCTCCAACTGTTCGCTTCCATTCTCGGATTAACATGACTTGCGTAAACCCTGAAACTGGAGTGGTATGATCGGAATTATTTCATTGACCTATTTATGTTGTCCTTATAAATAAATAAATAAATAAAAAGGTTGTTTACAGCATTTTGCAGGTAGAATTTTGTTAAAGCAAATGTGGGATTTTCTATATGCTTTCTGCAGAACCTGATTCAACTTAATTTGTGAATAGTATATTATATGAACCTGTGGTACAGTTTCTTTGCTTTGATTTGCGAATTGTGTTTTATGCTTGTATCAATATGTCGATGCTAATATAAGATTATGATACTAGTAGCTTGGTTATGAGAGTTAACTTTGTAAAATGACTTTACAAGTTGAAGGTAGACATTAATCTGTAACTTTGGTGGTTTACAGTTATGTTCATCTGCTGTTTGCTACTGAGTGATTGAAGCTGTGTATTTTGAAATAGACGACATCCACTTACGTTTGAAAACATAGATCAGAAATTTTTTTTTTTTTTTTTCCGTGATCCTGATTGCTTGAAAATGATTGCGCCGATAGATGCTTTTCTCTTCTCATCACAACTGAATTCCATTTTGTGAAAATACGGATATGTAAGATACAAAGCAAATATACCATAAAGCTGAACTCTATTTACCTCAGAATTCTCCAACTGCGAATTCGCATCTATTGGAGGTTACATGTACCTGTTATTTGAGCTTCTCCTTGGTGCAGTATGCTATATCTTCATTACTGCTTGATTTTATGCTATATATCCACATATTTTTATGTTGCTCGACCACCTACCTGTCTATACTATACATGATGGATTGCTTGCTGCATATTTTATGTGCAATTTTGTTGTGATGACATTGATCTCTACACATTTGCAAAACTGAGTCCGCTATAGATATGCATCCTTCTTGGGCAATTGTTCCTCGCCTCAACTGGATGCTGCTGTTTAAACTAGCATGTGCTTAATTTGTTTGGACTGATTGGTGATATGTGTATTGAATGAGTAGGTGGAACCAAAGAAGTTTGGACCTCTGGCAAACTGGAAGCGCGAGTTCACAATGGAAGACATACTGACGCAGCTGAAGAAGGAAATGGGTGCTACGCAAAACCGTAAGCTGGTCCAGCCTCCTGAAGGAACCTACTTCTAGATAAATAACTATATTGATTCTTCTATAGTTTGTTTATATTGCTACTTTCTGTTGGGATCATGTGAAATGACAATGCCATGCCTTGCCCCCTAGAGTTTCATCGGATTGTCAGCCAGTCCCTTTTGCATGTCCGTTCCCTCCCTTCCCCTCTCCTTCCTTCTCTTTTTCGGGTTTTCAATGTGGTGTTCCCCCCATCTAATGGCTAATGTGTAGTGTTGTTGGATATTTGGTTGATGGAAGTGATGTGTGATAATTATGGATCGAAAACATCATGCAGGTATCATCTTGATACCTTCAAATATGTATGTGTATTATATTGAAGAAATCTGTTTTTGTTGATTCTAAGGTACAGCGTGTTGGTGTAAAGAAATTTTAGGATCGAAAATCGAGTTTTATTAACAAAAAGAGTTATACTTACAACGAAATATATGAAACAAGGAAGCTTTGGGCGATTTAAGGCTTAGTCACCCCAAATCACTCGACAAGTACAAAATCAACACAAAACACACCCAAAAAACATCTAACATACGAAACTTACCCAAAATCCACGACACACAAAAGAATAATTACTCATGGAAAGTACAAGGCTAAAGAGGAACAATATCACAAGTCTATCGCTTTGAACGAGTCATTTGCAGTTTGAAACAACAAAAACAGAGGGAACAAATCGTGCCATGAATTCCACAAAATTACAGGAGGAAGGAATTGTCGAGAAACTATCGCCGGAGGGTGAGAGAGTGAGAAGATGAGAGAAGCTAGAGAGAGGAACAACAAAGAGAGAGGAAGTGAGAGTGTAAGTATCAGCGTCGGCCTCTCTCACCTCTCATACCTATATATATATATATATATATAGGTTACAACAGATCGGAGGGTAGAGATTAGGCATCGGTTGGACAAAAATTCATCTAAGAAAGGATGCGGATCCTAGACGGGTTAGCGAGTCACGGGTTTGGGTCAAGCGAGCGGGTCGTGCACGGGTTGCGGGCCTGGACCATGGGCTAGGGCTTGGTTTTCATGGGCTACTTAATGGGTATGTAATTGTATTTTGGTGTATGAATTAATATTGGACCCAAAAAATCAACAAATTCTCCACCTAATTTTATATGTTTGCACTTGTGGCCGGGGGTAAACCTCTCATCACAATTGAAGCATAGACCCTTCTCTCTCTTTGCTGCCATCTCAGCTGCAGATAATAACTTGATGTTCGGCCTGGGATTATTTATCTTTGCAGAAGCAGTTGTAGCTTGAGGTTTTCCAACAGGGGATGAGTGAAAACCAGCCTGGTAAGGCTTCTGCATCCCTTTTAACCTCTTGGTGATTACTTATATTGTCTCATGTTGATTTCGGCCTAATTCAATCGCGTGCTCCGGTTAACAGGATTCATCATTCTCACGGAAGCTTTAAGCTCGGGAGTTAGCCCTCCAATGAAACATGCAATGACGTATTCCTCCGAAATAGGTGGACCACTCAAGGTATTCATATAGTCTCGTAGCTCTTCGAATTAATCCACATAGTCCGTGTAATCCCCTGTGAACCTCAAGTGTTTGAAATCTTCGATCACCTGATTCGTCTTTAGTTCTTCAAATCTGGAGCTACGAGCCTGTATGAATTGCTGCCATGTTGCATGCGGCCTATGTTTAATGAATGATTGGTACCAAATTGCAGCTCTCCCATCAAAAAACATAGATACATACATGATTTTATAGTCTTCCGGCATCTCTTGAGTCATCCGGAAATAGTTGTTGCACCGTAGTATCCATGATCTAGCGTTAGTCCCATCGAACCGGGGAAATTCCATTCTAGGAGTTGCTTGTATAGGTAAATGACTGCCTATACTAGATCTAGTTCTTCCAGAATAATTACCACGCATCGGGTCAGTTTCAGATCTATATGTATTATGGAATTCCACTGGGCTTGTATCATCTATAACATCTTTCCCTCTATTTGTGTGTTGTGCTGATTTTCGTGGTGTGGTTGAAGAACTGCAAAGCTTTTCGAACATACCTTGTACGTATTCTCTGAATTCATCCTTGGATTTGATTAGAATTGCCTGCGATCTCGCTATTTCTGCTTACGATCTGTTTATTCCTGCTTGCATTTGGTCCAATTGCTCATGTATTCTGATTTCATTCTCTGCCCTCTTTTCATTTTCTAATTCCAGCATTTTGTGTGCATCTACCAGGTCCTTGAATATGGTGCCTTCCGCCATTGCAGAAACAGCTTGGGTCTGATTACCAAGTGTAACAAACTGGAGAATTGACTTTCGATATTTTGTGCAAAAGCTAAAAGTGAGAACTGAAGATAAAGTTTGGAATATTTCTTTTTATTTCATTAGGTAATATTTAGGGTTTAAATACTAAAACCCTACATACTTAAGCATGCCAAGCAGCTGAGCCAATCAAGCAAAACAAATCAAACTAGTACTAAGGGTAAGGGTGTAAGCCCTTTACAATATAAAATTAAATTGGTACTAATGGGTGTAAGCCCACTACCTTATAATAAAAACATAGAATCTAGGCCTCAATTAGATGCTTAATACAATTCTCTTATACCCAATTGTGTGCAACTCCACAAGTCTAGATCATTCCTTCTCCATCCAACCGATCCACCACCGCAGCTTCACTCTCTTCTCCCTGTTCTTCCATATCTACCACAACCTTAAACACCTCATCTCCCTGTATGAGAGACTCGACCCCATGATCATAACATATTATTATTATTATTATTATTATTATTATTATTATTATTATTCTAGTTTTTATTATTATTATCATTAGAATTATTTTCTTATGTGATCTAAAAGGAGACCTACCGTTAGTATACATGACTTCTCCCTTATTAGACTTACGAGCTTGCACTACAAAAAAAAAAAAAGTTTAATTAACTATAATTTTTTTAACTACCAAATATTTTTGTAGATAAAACATATTATTCAACAATAAAAATTAATTTTAGTCGCTAAAATTAAATTATGCATTACAAGTTAATTTCGTCTCTAAAATTCTTTTGCTAAAAAATCTTATTTTCATAGCGAAGGGGCTTTAACCACGAAATTATCTTTCATAACTAATATCATTTGGCTAAAAAAAAATCATGTATATTTTGTTGCTAAAACCCTTTTGTTATGAATTTTATTTTTATAGCAAAAGAGCTTTAGCTATAAAATCATATATTCGTAGCTATATCTATTTTCTTAACTTTCATTGCAAAAAATGTGTCTTTCGTTAAGAAAGTCAAATTTGTCACCAAATATTTTTACCAATGCGGTATAGGCGACAAAACTTATTTTGTCGCAAAAACCTTTTTCTACGAAATTTTGTATAGCTAAATTTAAACTTTTTGTAGTATTTCAAATCTAGTTCTTTAGATTTTAAACCATTAATAATTGCATCTATTGTCACATTATCACACCCATATCATATAACATATTTAACATCAGAATATATGTTAGGTATGACATTTAACAGAATTATAGCACTGTAATCATCAATATTCTTATCATCAGTAAGTTTAATACTCATTTTGTATTAGTTTAGAAAAAAAAAATCCAAAATTTTATCTATTGATTTTGAAAAATTTGTTTAAAACTAAAAAAGGTTTCTAACAAATACAACCTATTAGGAAGAGATGTTTAAGTATATAGTTTATCTAATTGACTCCACAATACTAGTGTAGATTCATTCTTGCCCACTTTTCTGATTTCATGATCAACCAAATCAAAATTGTACTAGATGAGGCCATTTCATTCAACTCAGCCCTCATCTCAAGAGGAACTTGACCTGCATGATTAGGCTCCACTGCCCTAATTAACCTTTGAGTTACTAAAATACTTATTATTTTTATTTCCAAATAACAAATTATATTTTACCATCAAAATGTTGAATATTATAAATAGATTGACCAATCATTTTATAATTTTCGATAAATAGTGTTTAATTTTCAAAAACAATAGTATTATGTTTTTAATTTTATAAATATATACTGATTTTTCACGCACGCACACACACACAAAGAGAGATTAAGGCAAGCTAGACACACTATTATTACATAATATAGTATCACACAAAAAATAGATAATCACAACTAGCAGTAAACACCACAATATATTACCTAACTATCACAACATTCTTTCGTGGTACTAGTGAGTTACTCACAACAGTGAGGATCAGAGTTTTAAAACTTTGGTTTCACAATAGCCTTCAAAATTGTTTTGGCGAGAAATTTAAATGCAATAATTAAAAAAACCACAAAATAATAATAGAGTGTATTAATAACGATTACCATCATAGCACGACAACAAAAAAAAAATAATTTCTTACAAAACAATAGGAAAAATACAAAACAAACCTATTCTCTTTTGAAAAATAAGGCTTAGCCAACAAAAATATCAATAGAATATTGGTTTCTCTTTTAACAAAATGATATAATCACCCAAACATAAAGAAATAAGGATAAATAACCACATAATCGAAAGAACAAATACAAGAACATAAGAAGGCTTAAAGATTTTACACATTTCAAACTATAAATTGTTTAAATATTTTAGATCTTAAAAGATTTTTAAAATTTGTTTAAAGATTTTGAATAACTTTTTAGATCTTGGCTAAAAGAAAACAGATCCAACACATACATTAACAAATCTATTAAAAAAACAGGCCAATGAACCATATTTACACTTTATTATTAAAGAAAAAATTGAAATATTAACAATTTAACAAAACAATATAAGCGGTTTTGACAAAAAGAAATGAAGTAGACATAAACTTAACTGATTTACATAGATATGTAGAAGTTAAGTCAATATCTATTTAAAAAAATAACTCAACCAAGACTCAAATAACATCGACCGAGTTAGATTAGACCGATTTGGACATGGATCTAAAAGAAAAAGAATCTAACACTTAAAAAATAGTCCGATTCAACCAGATCCGTTTTTTTATCTATTATAGTTTTTACCACAAAATTTATAAAATTAAAATAAAATATGATTTCATACAAGAAAAAACCACAATGAAGCTCTGATACCACTTTTAAAAAAAATAAAGATAGAAAATCGAGTTTTATTATTAAAATAAGCTATATTTACAACTAAATATATGAAACAATGAAGGTTCGGGCAATTTCAGGCTCAGTCACCCCAAATGAGTCGAAAAGTATAAAATCAAACCAAAACACACCCAAAAAATGACTTACACATAAAAATCTACCTGAAACCCACGACACACAAAAGAATATTCCCCCACTGAAAGATAGAAGGCAAAACAAGAACTAAACCACAAACCTACCGCATTGAACGATCCCTTTGCAGCTCGCAACAAAAATAGGGGGAAAAAATTGTG